AGAGAGAGAGAGAGAGAGAGAAAGTGAGAGAGAGAGCGAGAGAGAGAGAAAGACAGAAAGTGAGAGACAGAGAGAAATTGAGAGAGTGTGGTGAGACAGATTGAAAGAGAGAAAGACAGACAGACAGAGGGAGAAAAAAGGCTGAACCCGTGGTTTTATGCACCCTGCATAATTTAGCAAAATTTGATCATTTTTTGCATAATTTCTGATTATTTTCCTTCACCTTTCTTTGTTAAAATTAACAGAATCGCATAATTTCACCTTTTTGGGCTCAGTTTGCATAATTTTTTAATCTATTTTGCATAAAACTGTGGGGACAGTAAAGGGAAGAGAAAGAGAGAAGTAAGAAATGCATAAGACCATTTATTTAAAAAGAGTTTGTAGATAGCGTCATGCGAGGGGTGCGGTGAGGTGTGGGGTGGAGGGCAGAGAGAGAGAGAGAGAGAGAGAGAGAGAGAGAGAGAGAGAGAGAGAGAGATAGCAAAGTGTGAAATTAATTATTTGTAAAAAGACACTATGGTAACCCCTGAAATGTAAAAAAAAAACTATAAAAATTCGTGATATAATCAACAAAAACAGTTTTCTGAAACCTCGAAGCATTTTTGACGTCATATATTTTTGTGAAAATCTTTCACAAGTAGAGATTTTCCCGAAACAGGAATTGACATCTCTATAGCCAAAGAGTTTCACCCATCGACTCGTGTATGAATGACGCAAATAGATAAGCTCTCCTTTCGAGCTACCGACTTGAGATACTAATAATCTTGCTTTCGGTGATCGACAAACTGCATTCCATATAGAAGATTCACATGAGCAGCCTTAGCCTTAGCCTCCAGCCCATAATAACGAGATGTGAACAATCCCAACAGCTGTTTTGTAAAATTTCCCAGCCATTCTGCAGTCCGGATCGTGACAGACGAGCTGTAAAGTTTCCGCCGCGACCCCGCTCAGTTCAATAGCGGACCTGGAATGGGGCGTGAACCGAAGCCGCTGACGAAGCAAGCAACAACCTCTTCCCCGGGCAAAAC